ATAGGCTCCAAAGCTACACAGAGAAACCCTGTCATGAAAAAACAAAAAAGAGAGAAAGAAAGAAAAAGAAAGGAAGAAAGAAAGAAAAAGAAAATATCTTAACTTTACCTGGGGCTGATGATACACTCTTTTTTAATCCTAGCACATAGTAGGTCAAAGCTGCCTGGGGTGATGATACACTCTTGTAATCCTGGCACTTATTAGGTCAAGGCCAGCCTGGACTATATAACAAGTATCAGGACTGGGAAGAGGACAGTGAGACCCTTTCTCAACCCCCTTCCCCACAAAAGGTATATAATCTTAATCTTGCAAGGACGAATAACTGAGTAAATATTAATGAAAAGTTTTATGAATACAACTAGAGAAATTCTGTTTTATATTATTTTAATAAGTTTTAAAATGGACTAAGCTTCCATGCCTTGGAGAACATGGGTTTGTGAACTAACAGATTAAAAACATGTTAGAGCTTTCATACCCTCTATAATCTGTTCATCTATTGAGACCTAACTTTGTTCCATATAAACAGCCCTAGGTGATATTTAAACGGGAAGTAAGTGGCACACCAGCTATGAAATGCCAGCTTGATCTTTTATAATACTCACTGAGGGTAGAAAAGTCAAAAGATAACCCACCTCTGACATGAGATAAATAAACTTTGGTGGCTAACCAAAGTATCCCACACCCTTTTAAGTGTTTCTCTCTTATGACTAAAAGTCAGGCTACAGTGATTTGCCTTCTTATTTTAAGCTTTATTACTTTTGGTCATCGGAAGTGTTTTGGTTTTGTCACAGGCAGGGGAGGGCATAGCAACACAGTTGGCTCTAACTTGAGGAGTCCCCCACCAATAGAGACCTGTTCTTAGGTCTATAATGGCTACTCCCGCCACTGTATCACAGAAAGAATCTCAAAGCCAGCTGTTGTGAAGCAAGGTTGAAATTTGTTGAGTAAATGTCAATTAGTGTACTTCCAAGTGAGCTTCTCAAGAGTCATATGTGTGTATGTGATTTTGTGGTATTGAAATTATATTGTTCAAAGGGTGTAATTTATAACTGGGTTGAAAGATTAAAGCCAAGGTTTAAATTATGGAGAAAAGTACAAGCTTGTGTAGTTATTTCTCTTGCCTTAAAGAATTTCCTTTTGTAGATGAAATTATAAGGTGATTTATGTAGTTCATCATTTCAGGTGTAGGTATGAGAGAGGGTGCTAGTACGGTTAAACTCAGAGGTGATGTGCTTTAATCATTGTTCATTGACTCTTTTAACAGTCTTTCAGCTATCTCTGAGAAAAGGAAGTATTGTCTCAATGCCGACAATTTCACAGAAGAAATTTGTCAAAACAGTTAACTTTTCAGCTAGCAGGAAATATAAACAAGATCCTAGTCATCGGGTGCTCCTTTCCCTTCCTCTGTCTCTTAATTACCCTGTGTCTCCATCTTGCCACGGTTTAAAGGCACCTTTTCCTGGAAGGTAAAGAAAGACATAATCTAAGGATAGAATCAGTGCAAAATCATGGCATGACAGACTGTCAATGAGTTTAAAAACAATTACTCATGTAGTGTTTCTTTCCTTTGGAACATTGAGATCTAAAACAACTTTAATTGTATAGTCTATGAGACCAAACCACTGACTTCTACTTCAGTCTGCTATTCATAACTTCAGTGAGAGATGTATTAATGAGTATTTCTCCTGTGTGTGAAGACTAAGTTGAATATAGGTTTTGAAAAATAATGCATCGTTTGCCATGATATAACATAAGAAATATGTATAAGGGTAGTTTCCACTTTGTGACTTATTAAGTGCCACTCAAATTACCATTGGTAATCCTTATTTGCCTTGGAATCGAGAAAGATACCCACAACTGGCTGAGGAACCAATAGACAGGCTGGATATCCAAGCTGAGAATGAGCCCTATACATAATGCTGCCCTAACAAATTGCCACAGACGTGCTGGTTTAAAGCAAGACACATGTGTTATCTTGTAATCATAGATATCAGAAATCTCAATCAAGTCCCAGTGGGCTAGAATAAAGGTTAATGGGGTGGCATTCTTCTGAAGGCTCTAAGGGAGAAGAAACTATAGAAAGTGATGGCTTCATGCACTCTGGCTTTAGGGTATGGCAACTCTGAGGGCTGTTGTTCTACCTGCCACTCTGAATGGAAAGAAAAATTAAAGTATTGTGCGTTTACTCTTTTACTATATTGTAAAAGACGGGCTGATTATCGTCAGCCTGTCATAAAGATTAAGGATGTGCAACTTTGCCAGAATTTGAAACTAGTTGGCTGGAGGGGATCTTTTAGGTCCCAGAAAGCTTTCTAGTAGATCATACTTCTGTAACATTTTTATCAGTG